ATAAACACATGTATTCTAAACCTTTAAGAAAAATAAAATCAAGCATTCTAAGAACACATTCCTTAGCTTAAAATATTCTAATAAAATTTAAAAGCTTCCACTTAAAACTCAACCGAGCTTCCTCATGTTTTTTTTTTTTTTTTGTGTTTGCAAACTGCTTAACATATTATTCCCATTCAAATTTATCGGAATTAACATATTTGCACAATTTAAAGCACTTTAATTAGCACAATTTACAATGCGAGAGACAGACGAAGGTCGATCACAATATCTTAATCATAAAAAAAGATCATGCAATCCATAAACAAATTTTCTAGAAAGTAAATCTCTAATAATTAATAAAATTATGAGAACACTTTGGGGGTGAGTGAAGCTAATTGTAAATGATTATTTCCGCCTTTTGCCAGGCGGACGCAAACAAAAAAAGCGATAAATTAGTTATAAATGCATTGATTGAATATGAATACGAATATGAATATGAATTGCAAACGCAGTGAGTGTAAATAATGGCCATGCAAATTGAGTATTTAGAATAACAAAAAGCGGAGGATTTATATTAACAATTGGAACAATGCAAAAAAGTTAATGCTAGACTTGTTAACGAAACCATTTTCAAGGCCTTAACATTGGCCACAATTTTGCGAACTGAAATTCGGACTGAAAATCACTTCAACTTCAACTTAAACTTAAACTTTGAGCTAATGAGAGTGACTGAAAACTGGTTAGTTGGCCGAAATGCACTTTGTGCCCAGATCACAGCCAATTGCAAATACCAATTGCAGTCCCAACTGTTAGCCGGGCCAAAACCAATCCAATTGATATTAACTCGTTTTTTTTTGTGTGATCTGTTGTGGCTCAGAACCTTTGGCCAGCCAATCAATTGCTGCCATTTGTTTTTAATTTTTTTGTAATGATTTCGTATTCCATATATTCCGCAGCCACACTCTTTATACTATATATACTCTATATTATATATACTATATAGTATAGTGTATGGCTACAAGTTTCTAGCGGCCTTGATATTTTGTTTTTTTTATTTATGAAATCAAATGCAAGCGAGCGAGATACAAATAACGAGACCGACAGCCACCAGATACTTGTGGCATTTATTATAAAAAAAAGCTTTCGAGTGAATGAGTTACCCTCCTTCCCCCCTGTGTCTGAGATTCCAATTCCTATTCCGATTTCTGATACCGATTCTGATTTTGATTCTGATTCTGATGCGACGGCAGGAAGCCACATTGACTTTGCATATAAGTATCTACGGATGTGGTTGGGTTTGGGTTTGCCAGGGAATCTTTGGCATTTCCTTTGGGGGGGGGGGAAACTTGATTTGGTTTTAATTAGAAAATTACTTAAAATAATACCAAAAAGAAGGCGGTGGGTTGGCCCTAAGAATCGCTCAATCTACCATCTCGCTTGCTCGGTTTTAAAACACTGTGGGAAAAAGTAGGTGTTTTGTTTTATTTAAAAGTGAGATATTGAAGACTAACATAAAGCAGTATTTATATATATTTTATCAGCAAGTTTTAAAGGTTATTTTGAATTAATGGAATTCTTTGAACTTGAAAAATGTGCTTAATTATTCATTAAAGTCTGTAGAATATTTAACATATTTAAATTGTAGGAAAAGGACTCTGAAATAAACGTATTAAATATGAGAAAGAATTTCTTTTTTAATATATTTTGCCTATTATCCCCTAATATTTCTTCCGTATCAATATTTTAATTTTCATATTTTGTCTCTCGAATATTTACCACATTTCGATAGTAGAAACCGGACTTTGAAATAAACTCATTAAAATTTTAATAAAATTTCTTTTCTAAGATTTATTCCTTGTTAATATTTTATTTGAAATATATCGACTTCAGAAATATGCTTAAAGTTTCTTGAGTCTGTTAAACATTTAACATATTTAAAAACTCTGAAATATACGAATTAAATATTGAATAGAATTGATTTTTTGATGTATTTTTTCAACGTTTTCCTAATAATGAATCCTTGTTTAAATTTTAACTGAAATAATTAGGCTTCATAACATGCTTACAATTTCATTAGTCTGTTGAATATTTAATATATTTAAATTGTAAATGTAGGACTGAAATAAACTCATAAAATATTGAATAGAATTTTGATTTCTGATGAGTTTCCCCCAAGTTTCCCTAACATTTAATACTTGTTAAATATTTTTCCTCTGTACCTTTGCATTGGCAAATTGCTGGCAGCATCTTCTGCCGGTTTTTTTTTCTTGTATGTAGCTTCTGAATCAGAATCTGCATCGGCTGGTGCATCATCGTTTGCCGCTGCTACTACCAAACCTAAACTAACCTAAACCTGGCCTGGCCTGGCTTGTTTTCTTCTTGGTAGGCCGGCAACGTCCATCATAATCAACGTCCATCATCAGTTGGCTGCTGCTGTTCGGTGCCGCGTGCTCCGTTGACACGCCCACAAAGTGGCTACTGCTCGGCACGCCAACAACCTGGACAGCCTGGACAACCTGGCCAACATGCCGGCTTTTGTTGGGCTTTAACTTGGCTAAGGCTTCAGCTACAGCTTCGACTTTGACTATGCCCCTGCCTGTGGCAATGGCAGCTGGAGTAATTTTTCATCAGCGTAAACATCTTGAAAACTCTCTTTGGGCTACCAGTTTTACCATTTCGCAGTAGCAAGTGGCAAGAGGAGCAGCAGCAGCAGCTGCTGGTTGGTCATGTAAGGCCAACATCAGCATATCAGCTATCTGATATTAGAATCTCAATTACTTTTTCCACTGCTATTGTAATTTCCATCGAAAGGGGAGGCTGGAAAAGCCGGTTTTTTTTTCTGTTTTTGTTAGGTTTTCGGGTAGGCAAATATCCGTTGAGGTAAAACATGAAAATTTAGTGGCTGTCATAGAGTTGGCAGATGCAAAGAATAGCAGGAATAGGCACAGAGCCTCCCATCAGATTTAATCATTTATCGGTGGAAAACAGCCAATTATAGGTTTGGGATTATTCATTTTTCATTTTTCATAGCCCCACCCCCTGAAAAAACCCCTTAGTAGTGGGTCTGCCTGAAAATTACCCAAAATGGGCAGGTAATATGCCCTATTCCATCTCATTACAAATACCCCCCATTGAGTTAGCCAAACTCATAGCGAAATCCCAAACACGTTTCGCAATTTACGACTGTTTAATAACGAAACAAAACTAATTTAATGCAAAGCGACACAGCAACGACAAACGGCGTTTGAATAAATTAATGTAATAGACAGCTTAAATAGTAAGAAATATTGCTATCTACTTGTTCGATTGCCACAGTAAGTTTCGATAGAATAAAGCCATTAAAAGTGTAATTATTTCTATGGAATGTAATTGTAACTTTTGAGCTTGTTGAAGGAATATTTGTTATTTTATTTTAACTTGAAATATGAAATGATTTTCTATAAAAAATACTACTAAAGGTTGAGCTTCTAAGAGATATAAATAAATAAATATATTTTAGGGTTAATTAATAAGTGAAGCACTTATTTAATGGATTTATTTGTAGATTTTCTATAATTAAATTATCAAATATGGGTTCTTTTTCTTAAATCTAATATAGTTATGATCTAAACTTATATAAAACTAGAAAGGAAACTGAGTTTGGCAAGTTAAAGTTTACATTTAAACCCCTGGAGTTTGCAACAGAATTAAAGGATCGTATTAAAAATTGACAATAATTAAGCTAAAAACCTATATTAATTGATATTTTAATATGACAACATTTTTAAACTTGTCAAAGGTAATAAAACTCATAACTAAGCCAAAACAGCATTAAATTCAAATCAAAAAGCTTTCTTATGTTAGTTTTTAAAGGGTAAATAAACCTGCATACTCAATTTAAAATTAGAAATTTTAAAAATTTTGTAAATTTTTGAAAATTTCAACGTTGAACGCCTTATAAAACGTTGACAACAATATCCAAAATTTATTTTTTGACCGAACATGGCTAGATCGACTTGGCTAGTGATGCTGATCAAGAAAATGTATGATTTATAGGTTTGGAAATGATTCCTTCACTCAGTTTCAAGCTTCAGACTAAAATTATAATACTTTACAGGGGTATAAAAACTAACAAATACATTTTGTAATTTTTAAAACATATAATTCAGATCTTAACCAGTGAAGTCATATTTATATAAATGTTTTGAATAATATTTCTCATGAAAATGCATTTAAATCCATCAAGTCTACGATGCAAATATTTAAAATGCTCTTTTAAATAGTCAAAATAGTTGAAAAATAAATAAAAAATGATTCTATATTTAGTCAGCCATCTTAAACCCTTACCTATTTCTTTGTAACTCATTGTATTTTGCAACTAGGAAATATCAAAAACTGGTAGCTTGTCCGAATAGTAAAAGCCCCAACAAATACTTGCACAAAAAAAGAAAAAAACAAAAACCACAAAATGCAACAACATCGGCGGCAACTAGAACTGCAACGAAGGCAAAAACAACAAAATAAACTGGCGGAGGCTTAGCAAGAATGCAACAACAACAACCACAACAACAATAATAATGACAAAAAAAAAAAAATGAATCAAGAAAAATAAATAAATTTTCAGCATATGAAATAATAAGACAGAGAAAACAACAACAACAACAACTAAATCTAAAGTGCAACAGGTTTTGTGTGTTTTCGCGATAACCTTGAAACAAAACTCGTTTAATCATTTCGTAGTGTTCGAAAATGCGACAACAACAACAACAACAATAATAATATTATAGCAACAACGATAAATGAAATTTTATATGGCGCATTATAGATTTAATAAATTAACACTCATTTCCATTGGGGGGAAATTTGTTGTTATACGTTTTTGTTCATTTTGCTTTTTTCACCAAGTCAATTTTTTGTAGTCACTTCCAGCTAATTTGTGCTCGTTATATTTTGCAGGTACAGTTGTCGGTTCTACTCTATTTTAATTGATATATATAAATATATATATTTTATATATATATTGGTGATATCTGTAAAATATGGCTGAATGCTCATTTGCCAGATGTCTGCAGGAGCGTCGGCTCATCAAAAGGGAACTATTGAAATGGTCCAAGGATATGCTGCACATTGTGGGTGAGTTTTTGTTAAACAATTTTAAATAATTTTTAAATAATTGGAGGTTAATTAAATTTAGATGTGATGGGTATTAAATTGTATTAAAATATTTAATGGAATCGTGAGTTGTTCCTTATATATTTTAGACAACATAAAACTACCTTTAAATCGTTTAGTATTTTATTCTGTTTAAAACAAAATAACGAAAGCATTAAATAAATTATTCAGTCATTATTTTGTATGTGACTTTATATAACAAATGAAAATTTTTAATAATTAATTATATTTACTTTTAAGTTTTTTTTCTTGAATTTCTTAGTGAACATAAAACAATCTTTAAATCTTTTATTGTGTTTCTAAAAACACAAGGCATTAAATGAATTAGTAAGTGATTATTTTGTAAGTGACTTTTTATACCAAATAATAATTTTGAATGACTTATTAGGATTACTTTAAAAATAGAATAAATTAGGTAAGGAGAGGGTATTAAATTGTATTCAAATACTTCATTAAATGATGAGCTTCTTCTTGCATTTCTTAGTTAACATAAAACGATCTTTGAATCTTTTACTATAATTCTTTGTTTAAAAAACGAAGACCCTAGGTATTAAATGTTCTAATATGCGAAATATTTATAATATATTTGTTTTAAACGCATTTCTAAAAGCTGATTTTAATCAAGAAACTTTTAATAAATGCTGGCAGAATTTCACTCTTATTTTTATTTCCATTTCGAAAACTTTCACATTGCATTCCTTTTTAAGACCTTTTTGCAACCAATTAAAATCCGTTGAAAGCAAAATACTTTTAATGCATTAGGTGCTCTCAACTACCAATACTTTGATATAGTATCTATCTCTATATAAAACCTTATCCTTTTTTTTTTCTCCACAACCCTTGAACTAAAACTCACTCCATTGTTTATATTAAAACCTCAAATGTTATTTGGTCCTTTGCAAATGGTAAATGAAGTGATCCAAAGCCTGGACTTTGCTTTGGACAGAAATTGACTTTAACCACAGAGAGAAACCTAATCAGTATAGACGCCATATGTCTGAGCAAAGTGTAAAAAAACACCTCGAAAAAATGCGAGTCTGGTCCAGGGAAAATTAACATAAATTTCCAAGCCATTTTTTTGTATTTTTTGTATTTTTGTATCGCGTGTGGTTATCCTGGTGTCAACCTTTTGGTTACATATACATCTACATATATATTTCTTCAGCCTTATCCTTTTGCCTGAAAACACTCATTTCGGTTTTTGAGCACGTTTAGCACCGGGAAAGGGGACCAGGATCAGGACCAGGACCAGGACCCACACCCTCGCCTTAAAATGTTAAATGCCTTTTGTTGCTGTAGAAAGCGTGGGTGGGTACATATAAAAGCCGCCTTGCCATGTACAAATATACTGTAAATATATATATATATATATATGAAAGTACGTACTTTTTTTTTTGCACTGACACACACAAACACATCGTCGTCGTCGTCGTTGTCGCCCTTCGTCCTTGCGTCCCTGTCTCGTGCACTCAATTACTTCCTCAATGCGCTCCACAATGCTTATCGTCCTTGTTTCTAGTTGACATTCCCACACACACACACACACAGACAGAGGCGAGGTGAGGCGCCGCTTCCAGTGGTTTTCCACCTCCCCACAAAAGGAAAACCCTTAGCACATTTTTCCAGCGACAATTTCTGCTCGGCTCCACGAAGCTGCTCCTGCTGCACGAAGCTGCTGCAGCAAGGCAAAAATGTGAAGGAAGCCAGGATATACAAAAAAAAAAAAAAGAAGGAAGGATATACATATATATATATCTATATATATACATATATATATGGTTGTTGGTGTCTGGCTTTTCGGGGAAAGCGCTCTCTCTTTCTCTCTCTCTTTTGGGTTTTCTAACTGCAGTGGGTTAAGGATGGAGTGGGTGGGTTTTCCCTGCAGTTTCGTGTCCCCAAAACAACGAAGTCCTCTGCCGGAGATAACGAAGCGCACTTAAGCACACGCACACATGCGCAGCTTTAAGGGGGGAAGGGTATCCTGGATCCTGGAGGTTAGGTGGCGCCACCGAACTATATCCCTACGAAATATATTGCACAATATAAAAATTGCAGACGATGAGTGCCGAATGCGTTTGGCCGTCTCCGTTTGCCGAAAGCCGAAAACGCAGCAGCAGCAGTTGGAAAAACTACAGCAACAACAATGGTTGTGTGGGGGGGGGGGGAGAAAAAGTAGAGGAAAATCCATACGAAGCCGAGCCGAAGGACGAGCCAACGAGGAGCTAGCTAGCTAGCATTTTCCTCGCCTGTTTTTGTGGCCGATTTTCGTCGCCAACGAATTTTCCTGCATTTCTTTTCAACGTATATTTTTTTTTGTTGCCACCCCACCCACCTCCTCCACCCGGAAAAACGATGCTGATCGAAACTGAAGAGGAAGACAAAGACGTCTGGGGGGTAGGTGGTTTTTTTTTTTGGGTGGCTTTGCCTTCCTAGTGTTGATAGGAAATCTCGCCTGTTGCTCTACTCCCCCCCTTTCTCTACCGATTCACAACCATTTTCCACCCATTACCACCCACTTTTTCCCCCTCCCCCACACACAAACACACTCATACACACTCATTTCTCCAACCAACTGTTGTTGTTAGACCGGGGCTCATGGCAATGGCTCAATCAGTGAATCAGTGGTGGAGTTTCATTTGATTGTAATGGGAGCCCATCCACTTGTGGATTCAGGTGTGTGTGTGTGTGTGTGTGTGTGTATCTGTGTGTGGCTTTGTGTATCTTTTGGGTGGCTAACATCTGTGTGCCAGAACACCGGCATCGGAATAAAGGAGATTACACTAACCAAATTATATAAGCTGCAGAAAAAGGTAATTTTCGATGGGAGGCGGATATGGTGGAAATATGTCTGGGGAATCACAGAACGTTGACTGTGGTCGAAATGATTTTTTATTAGGTGTCTTTATTAGAAGGGAAGATTGTGAGATTTTTTCAATACAAATTAGAAAAGATAGTGAACAGATGGTTTAGGGGTTCCTTAAAGGGGTTCTTTCAGGATATTAGTTTGATATTATATGAAGGTATTTGATCTGTACATTTTAATGTTCAAATATTTCTCCAAAACAGGGCTTTACTTCCTTTAAAATATTAAGAATGTAATGAATGACGTGTACCTAAAAGCTTAAAAAGATATTGCAGTATAGGTAAAAAGGGTTAAGAATTATAACCTAAACTTAGTAAAGAAGAAACTTACACAAGTTACTATAAGATATAAACTTTTAAAGTCTTTTCTGTACAAATACTTACAATAAATTGTTTAGGTATATTCTTCTTTAGGTGTAGTCTTGAAGATTATTTTTAAATATTTAAAATTTAGTAAACACAGTTGCATACTGCTCTAACAATTTAAATTAACATTTAGTAATGGGATCCATGGCATTAAGGGAAAGAATTAAGAATTAATTGGAAAAAGAATACATATGTAGATAGAAGAGTAAGTAAGCTTCTTCCTAATTATCCAAAAATATATCATTGATAAGATGATATTTTTGGGGGCGAAGGGTAATCACTATCACTACAGCATCACCATAGATGTAAACACTGGGCAGGCCACGGACAGACTGAGGTCGGTGCGAGAACTGTGCCTCTATTTATAGTCCTCGAGAAGAGCAGAGAAAGTGAGAGAGAGTGGGAGAGAGTAAGTGATATCTCTACAGAGAGAGATGGAGAGTAAGGGATCTATACAGATACACAGAGAGGGATAGAGAGAAAGAGTTATCTCTTGGGATACACACACAGACACACATCTAACGATCGTTATTATGGCAGCTAAATGATATAGTCGTCCGATCTTAGTTAAATTAAAACCATAAGTATAAAATAATACCAAATTACTTTATTTTAAATTAGATGAAAATATCTTCACAACAAAAAAAGTTATAATATGTTTGCAAACATTTTTCGATTTTTCCTATGGCAGCCATATGATATAGACTTTCGATCCGGCCTGTTCGAATTTATATAATAATAAGAGTATATTAAAGACTAACTACTAACTAAAATTAAATTCAGATAGCTTCAAAACTGGAAAACTAGTTGATACCTGTTGATGCTGATCAAGAATATATATATATACATCCATATAGATAGCACTCCTTCAAGCTCATAAAAATCCCAAATAAAATTATTTTAAAGTCACACTTTATTGAATACCACATATCCTCCTTAAAGATTTCAACCAGATAAAGCAATCTCACCTGAAGACTGGCAATAAAGAACTCTGGCAAATATTTTCCTAAGCTTATATTTCCTTACGAAAAACTTGCACTGCAGCGGAAAACAAACCCCAGCAGGGATCTAACTTGTTGCATAGTCAGTCGAAGAGAAAGAGAGAAAAAGGGGAATCCCATCTACAGCTCCACTTTCCCCCAAACCCCGAACCCCTCTTATATTTAGTTTGTTTGCCTGGAAAACTCTCCTCCACCTCTTAGTGGGGTGTAAACATATTAAAAAGCCAAACTTTTGCTTTGCCTTTATTTACGAAAAAAGCAAAAAAAATAGAACAAAAAAGGACAAAAAAAAAATTAAATAAATAGAAGGAAAAAATCTGGAATATATAAAGAAGAGAAAGAGATGCATTATAATGACTAGAAGAGGAGGGGTGGCCGAAAGCAACAAGCTTCACATATATATATATATATTTTCTTTTTTTTCCGCATTTTCCGGAAGAAGGAGGAGGAGGAGGATAGAGCGAGAGCGAGTGGAAAGTGTATGTGTATTAAGAAGCTGCAGGTGTTGGGCAATATTGTGGGCCATATCCACACCCCCCTGGCTCAGTGTCTCTCTATGTAGTGGTGGTGGGGTTTCCTCCTCTTACCATCCTTTTTTTTAGCAATTTTCCTAGCCATTTTCCCAGTTCCACCCACATTGCCAAACGCATCTTTCGATTACGCCAACAACAAGCAACAATGCAGTGGAAGAGGCAGGCAGAGAATAGCGTTGCAGGCGCCGCTGTCGGCGTT